CTGACACGGAGGAATTCCTGCTTGGCTTCTCGAACGGTAAACAACAATAAGAGAAGCTAACTCAGAGGAGCGATTGCTTACGTAGCCCCCAAAAACATAACTAAACAACAATCACTTACCTCCCTGACTAACTAAACATGAGAAAACTGTACCCAACTGAAAAGGCGATCCACTCGAACTTCCTCATGACTTGCAGAGCAACACAGGGCATGTCGCAGCCCCAGCTGGTTGGGGTAAAACCGAGGATGGATGATTGCTGTCCTCAACCGCGCCGTCTTATACTCCTGGTGTACCATCTTCGGGATCCACCACTCCTGGAGGCGCACCTGCACACTCACATTTACATGTCATAATCCCAGCCCACGACGGCAGCCGTAACAGCAGTGTGTGTGACATTCCATCATTGTCCAACTGTTCTGACACACACACCAAACAAACAAACAAAAAATGTCTAAATTGCACACTACCTACTAACTGTGTAAATTCTCTGTTATGACTGGTTTTCCTTGGCCTATAAAAAAAAAAAATTACAATATTACATATCAGAATTTGATGAAATTGTCTATTTCTTCTTAAACAAATAAAACAAGAAATCTCACAAAGTTTTCTTCAGGTGTTTGAGGGTGCATGGAATTTATCCAACAAGTCTACATGTATCTTGTGGACTTGGCATTTGACTATCATTCATTTGTTTGTGACAAATAAAATTTGAATTTGAATGGGTATTTTATCCATAAAAATAATTGAAAATAAGCCTTTAGTGAAGTTTTAACAAATGTATTGGTTTTTTTGTGTGTGTTTATATAGTCTATCAGGCTGTCTGATCACAGAGGAAGGCTGTACTTCTCTGGCTTCAGCTTTGAGCTCCAACCCCTCCCATCTGAGAGAGCTGGACCTGAGCTACAATCATCCAGGAGACTCAGTCCAGAGTTTGTTGGCTGGACTGAAGGATCCACATTGGAGACTAGACACTCTCAGGTATGGAGAGAATGTCTGATAGAGGAGGAAAAGTTGAAAACATCTGCTGTGTCCTACATTCAGTTCCTGATTGTTTCATGCAGATGTCACAAATAAAGGGAAGTGCTTGCTCATTACAGACAATCTAAGGAGCTTGAAAAGAACAACTGGGCTTTTTCTTGCAGACATTTCATATGAGAAGCTTCTTCAGTTCTAAAATAAAATTTTGGAGAGACTTAGGTATTTAATTTAATTTAAAATTTGGTTATCCCTAAAAAGGGTCGTTGACCCATTATTAATTATGTGCCTCATCACATGAGCCAAGGTGTGAAATAGATAGAAATGTTCAGCTGAGTCTTTCCCTGTAAAGGTAGCGGCCATCTCTGTCCCACATCTTGGGTAGCACTGCTCTGTTCTGT